GATCGCAATCTATGGGACGGGCTACTTACTCACGCTGTCACAGCCTTGGTGCCCGGGCACAGTGCTTCAACCGTCGCGTCGAAACGCAGAACCCAGTTCCTCGGGCTGTTGTAGAGCTGTTTGACGGCTTTGTCGACACCCGCTTCTTCTCCCGAGCGGCACAGCACGCAAGTTCGCTGCGCCAGGCGGGGATTGGCCTGCTTCTTGAAGAACTTGCAGAGCTTCCTGGGGCTCTTGTAATAGATCACACACCCACTCGGCGCCTGGGCAAGCGCTCGCAAAACGTGGGGCAGTGTAGGCAGGTCTTCCGCGAGAGCCTCTGTTACAGCCACGTGGTAGCTCTTGCTCGAGTTCCGAAGCTTCTCCGTGTACTGGATGCCTTTTGGAGAATCCTCCCGTGCAAAGTCAGTCGGCGTTGTGAAAAAAAGCTCCCGTGAACGCTGCTACAATCTGGGCGGCGATGCAATAGTCGGTGTCAGCTGTTGCCGCCAAGACTACGTTCCCCTTCTTCCCCTTGGCCGTATGACGGGCAAGATAGTCCAGGAAGTCCACCGGGTCCTGAAACACCTTGAAACGCAAGCGCTGCGCCTTGTTGCGAGCGCCCACATCTACCATGCGAGCCAGCATGAGCCCAGCGGGGCGCGGGGGGGGCAGCAAGTAAGCGTCGCGGCCCGCAGCTGGCCTGGCACTGCGCAGGACTTTCTTCTCTCGCGTGCTCCTGGCCTTGGCGGCGGCCTTCGCCCCTCCAAGATTGCGCTCTCGGATCTTGGCCTCCCGCTTGGCGACGGCGGCGACGACTTTTGCAGCGGGCCCGACTGGATCTGCGCCGCTCGCCTGGGCCGCCTCCTGAGCCAGCGCAGCGAGATCGGGGGCGCCCTCCGCGAGAAGGCGGGCGCGCTTGCTCGGGGAAGCGGCCGCCATGGCGTTGGCGGCAACTGCTCGCCTGCGCCCGAAGCCTACCTCTGTCCGACGTGCTGCCCCAGGCTCCCGCGTGCTTCCCTTGTCGCGCCTCTCGGCCCTGCTCAGCGGCACGATCCCCCCCTGCGCGACCTCATGTAGCTTGAGCACATGCCTGTGCCAACGACTGGCGGCAGAGCTCTCGTTGTCGCCCAGCCGCGCGCGCAGCGACCTGCTGGAGGGCGCCTGGTCCACGAGCGCGCACTCCTCGACGGACGCGTCGAGGAGCCGCGCCCTCTCGGGGCAATGCACCTCCGAGAATCGGCGGGATCGCCTCTCCACGTTGCCCGTGCTCGTTTTCCATACAAGGAAGAGCTCCACGAGGCGACGGCCGCTGGGGAGCTCGGGCCACTCCACCGCAGCGCGGCCCCAAGCCTGCCGCGTGGTGCCCCCGTCTCGATGATGCACCTCGGCACGCGGCAACATTTGCCGCAGCTGGGAGATTGCCTCCTGCTCGGGGAGGTCTGCCGCCTGGCAGAGCGTGCAACCAAGAATGCTCTGGCCGATATAGCTTCATGTTCTCCTTCACATTGGCCACGATCCCCTGCGCTCGTCGAAGGGCCGCGTGGGCGGCTTCGCGGGCTCGGGGCTCCGTTCCCCAATCGCCGATACCAGCGGTCTGGACGCCAGTGCCGCACGCGAGCCGCTTCGTGGCCTTCAGAAACTTGAGGGTGACGCCAGTAAGCGTGTTGGGGATGCCCAGAATATCCCCCTGGACGAACGATGTATCCAGCTTGGAAAGGAAAGCGGCGGCCCTGGATTGAACGCTGGCAGCGTCGGGGTTGCTCTTGTCTCCGGTGGCGACCCAGGAGTAGCGCTCCGCGCTCAAGTCGGCCAGCAACCCCCCAGGAGCAGGCGCGAACTGTTCTCGCCCCCCAGGCCCTTCCAGAATCTGTCGGGCGAGAATGCGCCGATCTTTGTCCTTCCCCTGGGGCCCCACTCCGAGCGCCTGGAAAATGACTTCCCAACGCCGACTTTCCCGTGCCGAGGACCTCGCCCGACTGTTGAAACGCTGGGGGGCCCAGCCGAAGTTTTTGACGAACGCAGCGCCGTCTTCCACCAGCTGCTGCTCCCCGAATGTGTTGCGGAACACGGTGGAGGTAGTCAGGAACTTGGCCAGACTTGGTGGCTTCTTACCCGTTACCAGCAGCTCGTCCGTGGTCGTTATTTCGCTGTCTCCTTTCATCGAATTGGCCAGAACCTTCTGGGGCGAGTGGGCCTCGCCCCACGCGTGAAACGCCAGCCCAGGGAACGTAGCTGTTGCAGCCAGGGCTACACTTAGATCCGCCCCATCGCTGCACCACGCCCGAGTCTCCTGTCGCACATGCTTGTGCAAGTCCCCGTCCAGCTCCCCGCCTGCCGCCTGGCACGCGCGACGGACGCGCTCCTCCAGCGTGGAAGCCTTGCCGTCGCAGCCCATGCCCCGCGGGAACTCCCGCGCCCCGATCGCCCGATCCACGATCCAGGGCCCTCTGGGGCCCAGCTGTTCCAGCCAGCCTGCCTTGAGACCGTAGCTTGGGAGGAAGTCCAAAGCCTTCGGGATCGACCACAGCGCGGCGCCAATGTCGACCTGGCACGTGCGGTCGAGGCCGCCCGCAGCCAAACGACAAAAAAACAACACCATGTTTGAGAATCCTCTGCGCGATGATCGTCTCGTGCTGAGCCATGGCGGTTACCAGCCTTCGGCGCTGCTGACTAGAAACTTGGCGGTCGCCCCCAGCGAACGCATCCCGCCACACGTCGAAACTACTGACGGAACTGGACGTCTCCAACATTGCACGGGTGGCGACCACTGCGCGGCGACCAGGGCGCTGGTCGGCGGTGCGGACGACGGCGGGCGCAGGCGCCACGGCTGTTGCAGCTGCTGCAGCTGATGCAGCCGTTGTGGGGGACGCAGACACGGGGAGACCCTGGTGCGCACCTTCCGCGCGAATCCGCTCTTTCCACGCCGCTTCTGCTGCCTGGTGCTCCTCGCGCTGTGCATGGCGCACGAGGTTTTCCTTGCGTTGGAAACTCGCGGATCCCTGGCCTAGGGTGGATATGCAACGAGCGCCCTTGAACGCCGAGCAGAACACGCAGACTGCAAATCTACCACCTACGCAGCCTATCCAAGTTTCACTCTTCAGCGTTACTGGATTCGTCGCAGGCATCGAGGCGCTCCACTTCTCCTTGTTCTTCCAAAATTTGCAAGCGCCGCAGGTGGGGACGTGCTTTAGGTAGTCGTGGCTGGCGACGTGCTCCTCCAGGGTCATGGACAACGAAGGCGGGAACTTCTCGACTACTTTGTTCGGGGCGGCCTTCGCCTTCGCTCTTGCAGCCGCGGCTGCCTCGCTGCTGGAGCCGCTGTCCTCTTCGGAGCCGCTGTCGGAGCCGCTGTTGGAGCCGCCGTCCTCTTCGGAGCCCGCTGCGTCGGCAACTCCGTCGGCGCCGTCGGCGTCGGACCCTACGTCGGCGTCCGAACTGTTGCAGCTGCCACGGCTTGGCGAAGCTGCCCTCGACGAGGCCGCCGAGGCCGCGCGGCTCGACGGGGCCGCTCTCGACGAGGCCGCACGGCTCGAGGATGCCGCTCTCGAAGAAACCGCCGCGGCCGCTGTCGAAGAAGCCGCCGAGGGCGCTCTCGAAGAAGCAGGGCTCGGGGAAACCAAAAGAGAGGACGAGGCCGCAGGGCTCGGGGAGGCCGCAGGGCTCGGGGAAACCGAAGCAGGGCTCGGGGAAACCGCAGGAGCGGACGACGACATTACCTTGAGCCAAGTCCTACGGACCACAATGGTGACGATGGTGATGGTGATGGCGATGCTGATGGTATGGATGGTGATGATGATGATGATGATGATGATGATGATGATGATGATGATGGGGGTGGTGATGATGGTATGGTGAGGGCGATTGTGATGGTGATGATGGTGATGGTGATGATGGTGATTGTGGATGTGATGGGCACCACCATCATCACCATCACCATCACCACCACCATCATCACTACGATTTGATAGCCACCATCATTACAATCGTCGTCGGCATCAAAACACAAAAACACTCAACCAACTCAACCTAAACCCGCCTTAAAGACAGCCAGGATGGGAAGGGAGGAGGAAAAGAAAGACCACGCAGCCTCGTCGCCAGAGGTGTCATTTGATAGTGTTCTTACCCGCGTGCTCTCTGGAAGGCGCCTGGACAAGCCTACAATAGCCTACAATCGCCTGCAGCCTCTGCCGGCCACTCCTACGCCCTCCAGACTTGGCACAGCCTGCCACCGCATTCAGCCGTGCCTCAGCCCGTGCACACGGGAGGAGAGAGGGAGAAAGAGGGAGGAGGCAGACAAGGGAAGGGAGGGAAGGGGAGGCAACTGCACGCTCAAAGGCGAGCGCCCTGACCTTCATTGTCCTACATGCCCAACATATCGGCACCACGATGCCGAGGAGCAAGGGAAAGGCGGCGGAGGGACGAGGAAAAGAGAGGCGGACAGGCGGCTGAGGTGATGTCCCTCGCCGTCCGATCTGTCCACAACGCCTGCATGGCTCGCGGCTGCCTCGTCGAGCTCAGACTAACGAGCGGTCTCCACCCCGTCAGGGCCACGCCATGCCGGCTGAAATCCAAAAACGTTGCCTCGGGCGCCGCCCCCGAGAGGGGCCACAAGCCTGCGGAAGACAAAGGGCCGCCTCCAGGCGACGACGGGGGAGGAAGGGAAGAGAAGGGAGACCACAGCAGGGAGGGGAGAAAGGAGAAAGGACCAGAAGGGGAAAAAGGGCCGGCGCGCGGGGCACCCCCCGGAGAAGCTCGCGGCTGTCGCCAGCTGGCATCCAGCCGCGGGGTCGGCTTGGCGCAAAGAGGGAGCGTTCGCCGAGCGCACCGGCCTCAAAAACGACCAGCCTGCCTGGTCTGGATCCACGGCGTGGCGCCGCGGCTCGAAGGAGGAGAACAAAACAAAAATCAAAAATAGGAGAAGGAGAAGGAGGAGGAGGAGGAGGAGGAGGAGGAGGAGGAGGAGGAGGAGGAGAAGGAGGAGGACAAAGACAGAGGGGGACAGCCGCGCGTCACTTTTGTCATGCGCGCCCCTGCCGCCGCGGGGGCCTCCTCGTCGATCGTGCCCACGCGCCCGCGAGGAGCCTCTCTGCCCCGGCACGGCCGGCCACGGCCCCGCGCAGTGCCTGCTCCACGGCCCCGATCGCCACGTCGACGGACGGGGAGCCGCCGTTAGCCTGGGCGGCGCGCGTGGCGCGGTACGCGGCGTAAGCGCCAAGAGCCCCCAGCGCCACCATCTCCTCCTGCTGGGCATCGCAGCCAGTCATCGTGCAACCGCAGCGAGGCAGCGTGGAAGCGCCGGATCGTTCTGCAGCGGCTGCAGTGCCACACGCTGTCCTGCGCCTGCTTCCGCACCCTGGCTGACCCAAGATGTGGATCCCCCTCGCGTTCTGGAACCCATCCGGCGCCGCAGACTGTGGCGACAGCTCGTGGCGGCACGAGGCGACGGAGTCGCTGCAATGTGAGCTCGGATCGCGTTGCATGAGGTCGGGCGTGCCCCCCTACAGGCGGGTTTTGGGCGAAAAATAGAAAACAGTCAATAAATGCACTAAAATATTCAAAACTATCTTCTCCTATAAAAAACCGTCACCAGACTATGATTTTTCTTATTTTTGAAGATTCCTCCTGCAGAGGGGCACGCCCGACTCGAGCGTTGCCATCAACCTCGGCGTGCCATGCAAGGCCGACTGGCCAGGCTTGCGCCGAAAAGGCGAACGCGCGGCGGGCCCCTCCTGAAACTGTGCAGTCAGCTCCAGGGCGGCCGCCCGGAAACGGCGCCCTCCCGCAGCGATGAGCCGCTCCACGCTGCCAACGGTGACGCCAGTCGCGGCGAGCGGCGCCACCGTGCTCGACGGGATTTGGGGCATCGGTGAACCGAATCACCCCGCCCAGGACGCCGCCCTGATCATGTTGACAAGCGCGCCACTGTTTGTCCTGAGCCAGAACGCCTGAACGCCTTGCCATCCGGCTGACCCCCCCCCATGGGCGCCATTCTCGCAATAGAAAGCTCTCATCTGGGCAGCGCTTGCCACGACTCCGAATGGTCTCAGAGTTCAGGCCGTGCCGACATGTTCCTTGGGGGACCACAGATCGTTCTGGACGCACCAGAACCAATGTCCAGGCGCAGCCCGTCGCATGGCCCACTCTTCAGCGAGAGGCGCCTCCTGGGAGGGGAGCGCCACCGACGGAGGTTAACCCTACCAGCGCCTACGTGTTATGCGCAACTGCAACGAAGAGGACACTTTGACGCTCCAACTTCAGCCTTCCGCCCGCTCCCGGAATCGCTTTAGGGCCGTCTTCCAACTTTGCTGCATCCTCTGCCTGACCCAGCCGAACAGCCCAAATAGACCGCAACGCACTTCAAGGGCAGGTCCCCCCACGCCGGGCAGGCCTCCGATGCGACAGCAGAAGCGGCTTCCAGTCTGCCCTCCCAGAGCGGGATGCACACCGCCTTGGGAAGGTTGACAACCATGCCAGACAAATCGCCGAACTCAGAAAGGGCTTGCTGCAACCTTCTCGCGTCAATGAGCGCGCTGCCGACGTCATCCGCGAAGGCCCGAATCAGCACCTCAGGCCCCAGGCTGCGATTCAGCACGCGTAGCTGCAAGGCCATAGCAGCCGCGAATATCAACGGTGAGAGGGGCACCCCTGCCACATCCCCGAGCGCAGGGCAGGAATTGCAGTCTTCCATCGCGTTGCGCACTCTGGGCCTGCTGGATGCGCTGCCGCTGCTGTCAGTGCTGCTGGATCCTGACGTGCTGAAATATGTGGTGCTGCTGGATTCGCAATTGCTGCTGCTGCTTCCGACGCTGCTGCTGGCCCCCTGCGGTGCTAGACTCTGCGGAGCTGCTGGGTGCGCCGATACTGCTGTCGATTGTATTGCTGGGTCCCGTCGTGCTGGGTTCGGTGGAACTGCCGAATGTGCTGATACTGCTGCCGATGATGCTGCCAGCTGAGTTGCTGCGAGAATTACTGCCGATTCCCCTTGTGTCGGAAGCCATGGACTTGCTGGATGCGCTAGAACTGCTGCGTATGGTGCTGCTGGATCTCGACTTGCTGGGCTCTGCGGTGCTACTGGATGTGAAAATGCTGTCGCCAAAGTACTCCTGGCTCCCGTAGTGCTGGAGACTCGGATGCTGCTGGGTGCACTGGTGCCGACGACGGCGGGAGTTCTGCCAGGCCCCTGCGAACTGGAAGTTCTGAAGCTGCTGGGTGCGCTGGCGCTGCTGTAGGCAGAGCTGCTGGTTCCCCTTGAGCTGGAGACCGTGGTGATGTTGGGTGCTCTGGTACTGCAGAGCTTGGTGCTGTTGGGTTCCATGCTGCTGGGCACGTTGATGCTGCTGGATGCGCTGCTGCCGCCGATGGAGCTGCTGGCTCCTGCCGTGCTGAAAACTGCGTTGCTGCTGGATGCGCTGATGCTGCTGCCAGCAGAGCTGCTGCGAGCAGTCTTGCTGACACCTTTTGTGTTCGCGCTGCATCGCGCGCCTCATTTTAGGATCGCCACTCTGCTCCCGTCGTTCAGAATGGCGCTCTCGTTTCAGCGCGGGCCACTTTTCTGGGTTCGAGTCTTTCCTCCCCGTTGTCTCCCCGCTCCTTTCCCCTCCTTCGGCTTCATCGGGTCCTCTTCTTCTTCCTCCTCCTCCTTATTATTTTTCTTATAATTATTATGTTTCTTCTTCCTCATCCGCCTCCTCCTATTTTCCGATTGCGCATAACACGGTGGTGTCTTTCAGGGGTCTCCAGGTCCATCGGCGGATAGAGCAAACATCAGTTAGCGAAATGGGAAGGGATGGGCGGAAGAGATAGGACGTCAGATACGGCGCGAGCGCACCTAGCTTGTCTTTCCCCCCTCTTCCCGCCCTCTCCCCGCTTCGCCCCTCTACAATTACTCAACATGGGTTCTCTCTATGTGCTGATTACGTACGTATATGTATATGCTTTCAAACATTGAGTCGGGGACAAGCACGCCAGATTTGTCGAACACATACCGCCATACCATCACCGTGCTACCATAAGGATGTCTGAGCCATCAACGAGTGGGGCTCTTCTGGCTACGGCGAGCCTCGGCCATGAATAGGCTTTACGACTGAATTAGATCAGAGGGGTGGCCAGAAAACTGTACCCCTCGTGAGTGTATCTTTATTCAGCGTTTCGACCTTGGGCGAAAAGGGGGAGGGAGTGGGGGGTCTGGCTCTGGACCGCTGCTTAATGGCGTCTGTTTGCAACAGGGCGTCCATTATGGGGGGAGACTCCACCCGCTCGAAGCAGGCGCTCAAAAACAGCCAAGGTCCAATCCAAGGGGGGGGCAAGGGGGGTGCGAGGGCCCGCGCCGATCGGCAAAACAAGGAATAACAAAAACGATCACACGTGGCCCTCATGTTCCAGCGTCTTGGCCGTGCGTCTGAGCTCCTCGGCACGCCCTGGGGGCGGCCGGGCAGCCAGACCGGTGCTGGTCCGCCTCCAGTCAGGATGCCCAGCAGCAGGTGCTGCCACAAAACGACAGGCGGCCTGTCTCAACTAGACAACGCCCGCGGAGGCACCGACAGCGAGCCCTGCTCAAGAAAGGCATGAGTTGCTGTCAATTTTCGTGCCCATCCTTTCCGTGCCTGTTCAATCGTACCGATCCAGGGTTCCAGGGCACACGCACACACACATGGACACACACACACACACGCGCGCGCACACACACGCACACAAACACACACACACACACACTCGCACACAAGCAGACACACGCACACCCACACACGCAGACACACTCACACACAAAGACACACACACACACTTTTTGGCGGTAGCGACACCGCGCGCAGCGACGAGGCGGAGACAGGGCAAACACACACCCACACACACACACACACGCACGCAGGCGCGCGCACACACGCACACAAACACACACAAACAAACACGCACACACATACACACGCACAAACACACACACACGCACAAACACACACACACACACACAACACACAAACGCCCACACACACTCACACACACGCGCAAACGCACACACAAACACACAAACGCCAAAACACCACACCACACACACATACACACACGCACACTCACACACACACACAGCTCACCCCGAGCAGGTGCTCGCCAGCCGGCGCTGGCCGCGGCCTCCTCCGCCGAGGACCTCGGGTCGGCGGCCTGCCGTCGGGGGAGGGAAACACGGGTCCCGAGGGGGTGGGCCTCTGCATGGGGCGTTTCCGACTGCGTTTTCGGCGGCGTTGCGACGGTGTCGTCGGTTCCCTGGAGTTTCCCAACCTCGGGATGTTTCCCAAAGGCAACCACATGTAAACCCTGCCCCTGCAAGTAAAATCCCTGGAGAAACTACCCTGGCAAAGGACCCAAACATTTGCAGTTGTGAATACCGCAAGGCAGGTGGGACGAAGGAGGGGGAGCTTTTTGCGGGCCACGAAACGTCTAAGGGTATGCCGACATAGGAGGAGAGCGTATGTGGACATCGCCGCCGCATCCGTCGGCGGAACTCCCTAGGGTCAGGCGGCGAAACGCTGTACAAGGTGGCGCGGACGCATGTGATCACAGCCAATGGGGCCTTCGGTGGGGCTCCTTGTGGGGCCACGAAGCGCTGTACTGGGCGGCGCGCACGCATGTGACCACAGCCACTGGGGACTTCCGTGGAGCTCTTTATGGAGCCACGAAACGTTGTACTCGGTACCGCGGACGCATGTGGTCACAGTGACCGGGGCCTGTGGTGGAGCTCCATATGGCGCCGCGGAGCGCTGTACAAGGTGGCGGGGGCGCAGCCTTCGGTGGAGATCCCTATGGGACCACGATGCGTTGTACTAGGTGGCGCGGACGCATGTGATCACGGCCGCTGGTGCCTTCGGTGGAGCTCCCTAATGGGCCGCGGAGCGCTGTACTGGGTGGCGCGGACGCATGTGATCGCAGCAGTTGGGACCTTCGGTGGGGCTCCCCATGGGGCCACGATGCGCTGGGCGACACGAACGCATGTGATCACAGCCATTGGGTCCTTCGGTGGAGCTCCCTATGGGGCCACGAAGCGCAGTGCTGGGTGCTGCGGACGCATGTGATCACAATGACCGGGCCCGTCGGTGGAGCTCCCTATTGGGACACGAAGCGCTGCACCCAATGGCGCGAACACATATTATCGAGGGTGCGCCGCTGGATCTCCGCAAGGGGGGGGGGGTAGGAATCCCCCCCCCCCCCTTCCCCGATCCGTCGTCGGGGACACCCCCCCCCTCCCCCCCTTCCCCGATCGGTCGTCGGGGACCGCCCCCCCTCCTCGCCTTTCCCCGATGCGTCGTCGGGGAACCCCCTCCCCCCTCCCGCCCTTTCAAAAGGGGGGGGGGGGTCCGACCTCCCCCCCTCCCCCCCTTTCGCCACGCCGCCCCCTGACTCCGGAACCCGACCCCCGCCACCCCTACCCCTACTCCTCACCCTAACCCAAATGCCTAATCCTAACCCCAACCACTAATCCCAGCCCCAAAGAGTACTCACTACTCATTACTCACTACCCACTACTGACTACTCGCTATGCGCTACTCACTTCTCACTACCCCCTACTCACTACTCACGACTCACTACCCACTATCCACTACTCACTACCCACCACCCACTACTCGCTACTCACTACTCCCTACTCACTACTCCCTCCTCCCTACTCAATACTCACTACTCACTCCTCGCTACCCACTACTCAATACTCACTACTCACTAAGCACTACTCACTACTCCCAGCTCACTACTCACTAATCACTACTCATTACCCACTACCCACAAACCACTACTCACTACTAACTATTCCTTGCCCACAAATCACTACTCACTACCCACTACTCGCTGCTCCCTACTGCCTACACAATACTGACTACAAAGTACTCAGTACTCACTACTCGCTACTCCCATAATCGCTACTCAATACTCACTAGTCACTCCCCGCTACTCACTATTCACTACTCACTACTTATTACTCCCTACTCACTAATCACTACATAGACTCTAGCCACTAGTCACAACTCGGCAGTCACTAGTCACTAATTAATCACAACTCACTAGCCACTACTCACCAATCGCTACTCACTACCCACTATTCGCTACCCACTTCTTACTACTCACTGCTCCCTACTCCCTACTCCCTACTCACTACTTGCTACTCCCTACTCGATACTCAGTAACCACTACCCACTACTCACTACTGACTACTCTCTACTCACTACTCACTACTCACTACGCCCTACTCGCTCCTCCCTACTCACTACTCGCTACTCCCTACTCGCTACTCACTACTCACTACCCACTGCCACTATCCACTACTCTCTATTCATCATTACTCACTACTCATTACTCACTACGCACTACGTACTACTCAGTACTCACTACTCACTACTCACTGCTCACTACTCACTACTCGCTACTTACTACTCACTACTCACTGCTCACTACTCACTACTCACTACGCACTACGCACTACCCACTACTCACTACTCACTAATCACTACTCGCCACCCACTACTCACTACCCACTACTCACTACCTACCCACTACTCAGTACTCCCTACTCCCTACTCAGTACTCAGTACTCGCTACTCGCCACTCACTACCACTACTCACTACTCCCCACTCCCTACTCCCTACTTCCTACTCGCCACTTACTACCCCTACCCACTACCCAATACTCACTACTCACTACGCACTAACTCACTACTTACTACTCACCACTCCCTACTCCCAACTCCGGACTCCCTACGCGAGGGGGGGGGGGGGGGGCGCGACCCCCCCCCCACCCCCTCCTCGCTTTTGAAGGGGAGGGGGGGGGGGTTGGGACCCCCCCCCCGCCTTTGCAGGGCCGGAGGGGGGGAGGTTCTGGACCCCCCCCCTCCCCTTAGTGTATTCAGGGCGATCCACTGGCGCACATTCCATATTATCACACCGGTGGGGCCGTCGGTGGGCCTTTATGGGGCCAGGGAGAGTTATGTGCCGGAGGGCCGCTATCTCTGGCAAGTGCGGGGTGTAAAAATGATGCTGAATCGGTCTCGTCACTGCTCCTTATGGGTCGTGCCGACATGCTTCCATCTATCCGCCAAGCTGGTAGCAACTGGATGCAAGAGCAAGAAAGAAAACAATAAGTAAGGAAGACCCCCCCTGTTACGCCCGATCGCGGGGTCGGCCCGCGGCGCCGGCCCGAGTCGCTGACTAGGAAACAATGTCTTGATCCAGTTAAACAGCCGCGGCGCAATATAGCGCTGCAGGAAAGAGGCGGCGGCGGCAAGGAGCAGGCATGGGGGGGCTTTGCGCGACTCCCCCCGCGGCGGGATGCGCGGGCCAGAGGTCTCGACCACCCTCGGACATCCTCGGGCTCCTGGCGCCCCTCGACGCACATTGGGCCCCCTAGCGCCAAACCGTAGGAAACTCGTGCCACGCCAGGGGGGGGGCGCTGATAATACAGTGGGACCTCCCGTGGGGAGGGCCGAAACAGACCGACGAATCCCACAGATAAGCCCCTGGCATCAGAAGTGAATGCGATTGATCGGGCGCTGGCACTTTTTCCCGATCTTGTAGAGCACGTAGTACGACCCCGACTAAATCGGCGTCGGACTCTTCTCGCCATTCAAGCATGACGAAAATGCACGCAGTACTCCGCTGCGCCCCCAAACTGCCCTTATTCGTCCGTCTTGTTCAAGACGTTAAACCCGTCTCTCTGGGCAGGGCAGTGCCGATTCTCGTAGTAGTCATCTTCGGCACGGGCGTCTGTGCGAGAGCTCCGTGGCTGTCTGCTCAATGCGCGATGATCATGTCACTCTTCATCAGTCTCTCCGCGCCGACCATCTGCCCGAGCGCTGCGCCTCTGCGCGCCATGCGAGGCAGCAGCTGGCACCCCGCCGACGGGCGTCGCCCCGCGGCTCCTGCTCTGCGGCGGACCCGGCGGCGGAAGGAGCTCGCGCCGCGAATGCTGCCCGAGGGCCGTCCCGGAGGTTGCTGCCATCATCGGCCGATAGCACGCTGGCACGCGCTGGCGCAGCAGGGGAACGGGGAACATTGGTTTGGTCACCGTCTACGTCGGTGGCCTCACCAAGAGAAGCGCCAGTTTCCGCATGTGCCGATTGCGTCGTTAACGGCGGTGTCTGGCTGTGAAGATCACCTGTGGTTGCACTTCTTCAGCGACGGCGGCTACCTGCATTTTCGCGTCAGCTTGCGCACCGACATCGGCTGAGTCGATGTTGGGCGCGCCATGCCGCGCAAAGTTTCGCGGGGTTCCGATGGCCACCGCGGCTGCGCATTGGCCATGTTTTCTGACCGATTGGTTCCACATTCGGCATGGTCGCCATGCGTCGCGCCATCCCCCCCGTTCACTATGGTTGGCAAAGCCGGCGATGCATGCGTGAATCGAGCACGACTGCTTGCGGATTTGGGACTTGCGGTCAAACGGTTAAGCCCCAAACCCTTCACTTACGTGTCCTCCAGCAGGTCCGAGCTTTGAATGGCCACTTCGATGTCTGTATATCAAGTGGATTCACCTCTCTTCTTCTGCTGTGGACAGCGAAGATGCTCTGGACTGTCTCTCTCGAACACCACCTCTGCGGGATAACCCGATTCACATTGGGAACCAATGTGCCGGCCGTCGGCCAAACATGTCATTACAGTCTCGGAATGGGTGTCCATGGCTCGAAACGGCCGGTACTTAAACAATGTCTCGGGCATTTTCCTTGCCAGAAATCATCGGGTGCCTGGTCCATCAGCTGTTGAAGAGTTTCCTCGTCATATTCACCACCCTCTTCATTAGGCATACCGCCGTGCACTTTCGCGCAACTGTGCCGGCAAGACCCGTGCAAGTCTCGGCCGCAATGGGCGCAGTTTTCTTAGCGGACAGGCCCGCGGGCCCCTGCGCGAGTGCTCCCACGCCAATGTGATTTGCAAAACTCTCTCTCTCTCTCTCTCTCTCTCTCTCTCTCTCTCTCTCTCAATAGTTTGTCATTGCCGAACATCACCTCTGCATGCCCAAGATTCGACGACACGATTTCAGGGCCATTGTCTTCGTCGTTGCGTTGTCCAGTAATTGGCGCAGTTGCAGGGCAGCGAGCAACTGGCTGGTCGGGCATGCTCATGACTGGCACGGCGTCGAGAAAATCAAGCGCTGGTCGACTAGGACCACGTCGTGTCAAACC